CAGCACTGCTCTGCATACTGAAGCTCCATGACTGGAGTTGAAAAAAGCACAGCGCTTACCTTTTCGCTTCAGTGCTACAGTCCAAAACGGAATTGCTTAATGGTTAGTCCAGTGCATTGACTGGAGCAATCCTAAGAGCAAAAGGTTTCTATAGGAACTCATCTCAAAACTATCACAACTAGGTTCTTCAGCTCTGAAGGAAAAACTGTTAGGCCAAAACAACCTCCTGTCCCTCCTTTACTGACAAGCAGCGAGAGACCTACTCGCTCTCTTCGCTTGGATGATGCACAAGCTGTTACTCATTGCTGACAGACAGCTCTGGCTCATAGAAAGTCAAGCCACAGTGGCAACAATTTCTCCGTAACTTCAGAGAAAAATGTTAATAATTTTCTTGCAGTGACTCGGTAGATGATCTGGCCCACTTCTGTTTTGTTTGGAAATGGTTTAGAGACCCTACTCTATGTAGAAATCTCAGTCATTTTCAGTAACAGTCATATATTCTGCTCCTTAATGTGGACATATGTCAGTGAGACGTGCATGCCCTCCTTCAAAGGTGCCCAAAAATCTGCATATCTATTTTTTTTTTTTTTCTAAATTTATAAATCCTTGGGGAGTTCAACTGCCACAAGAATTTGAACCTAATTATAACCTTTGTAGTTTTCCCTTTATCTGCCAGTGTCTTTCCCCTTCTGAAAACAAAGCAGGACCAAATTTTACATTTTTAAAATACTATATTAAACTTACCTCAGCTCCATCTTGTAACTGCATAGGTTGGCTTTCTTGGTTTGGCAGTGGCGGAGTGATCTTGATCCTGTGAAACCAGACACATCCCCAAAAGCCTCAGGGCGATCGATCCCGAGTCCTGCTTCAGTCTTCCCATCTCAAGCGTGTGGGGTAGATCATGTGCATAATTCTTAAAAAAAAAAAAAAAAAAAAAAAAAAGACTTTTTAGCACCTCAGCATGGACTTGCAATGTAACTATTATCTACTGCCCCAAATTCTTTTATTATGTATGTATCATGAAAATAAATAGATGAAAATTACCCTGGATGACAATGAAGTGCCAGAGAGGTCTGTAGCTGCCCTTAAAAAGAAGTGGTGCGGATTCTTTCCGTATTTCCTGGGAGGTTTTGTTCTGGATTTAGTAGCATGACCAGACGTGAATACAATTCTCCATAGTGTTTCCTATAGCTAAAACCACCACCACCACCACCACACACACAAATTTATAGTATCTTCCCTCTACATATAGACCTTCAAAAGTTTTGAAACGATACTGAAGATTTAGTTTTAACAAATACTGGGATTACTCCTACTTCCTTTTGAGGAGTAAAATTACACAGATCAGCTCAGACAATTTTTTTGTGGTGGACTTAACCGAGCTGTTTAATTTACTGCCTGAGATGAGCTAGGACCATTTGTACATTCAGCTACAATGGGAAAACTTTCTTGCTTCTTACCACATCCCCAACAAGGAGAATAACTGCAGCTCCTTGTATAAGGTGCCAAATTTGGCACCTTATCCACAAACAACATCAGGAGCTCTGCTCTGAAACATTTATTACAATGCAAGCATAGCATTAAATTGATTTAAAGATAAAACCTAAGCATGCAATCTGGCATACTCCTTTCACAGGACCTTTAAACCATAAATCGAGACATACAGTTTTTATCAGTTTCAAATGCAAATAACTACGTTTATACCCTTTTTCTAGACCACAAATCTGCCCCATATGAAATAAACCGAATAAGGGCAACATCGTCTTCCATCTATAAATTCCATATGGTTGGTGTCTTCCTACTTGGTTTGTTCATTTTTTTTTTTTTTATGCGTTGGTGTTTTCTCTTATGTGTCCACAACAAAGAAAGACGATCAGATCAGGTCACAAAACCGTACAAGGGAGAGAGATCAGCCAAGGGTGACAGACGATGACACGAAGCGTTTCACAGGCAAGCACACGATTTTTTATGTAGAGCTTCTATACTAGCAAAGCTTATTGTTGTATTGCAGATTTTGCTAGCACTGAAATAAACCCTCTCTTTTTATGTGTGAGTGAAGGGAAACACTACTGGTACAATATTTTCTTGAGATTCCATTACCAGTATGTTCCAGTCCTCTAGGAGGATCTCTTTTTCTTCATTTTCCTGGGACTGCTGACAGCTAAACTACTGAGCTCCAGCTGGGCTGTGAATTCACCCTTGAACTGGAACATCAATCCCTTTCCCATAAATCGTTAGTCAGCCACGGGCCCTGCTCATTCAGATGTAGTTTGAATTGGTAACGCACAGGGTTACCTACTCCTAAACGTCGTAGTCTGTCCAGCTGCAGTACTGAGGACATTCTTCTTCTTCCCAGTGAAAAAAGCTTTGGCTAGCCAGCCCTCCCTCACTGTAACCACGCTCTGATGAGTTCTTTGAAAGGAAACTACATGAAGACAAGCACAACTGCACAGGAAAGGTAACTATATAAACCTACCTTCTGCAGGTTTTGTACTTCCATCACTCTGGAAGTCACCTTTATCTTAGGAAGGGTAGGTGGTAGCTTGAACAAGAAGAGGGAGGAAAACCAAACAAACAAACAAACGACTGGAAATCCTCTAGGAGCAAACGTCAAAGACAACAAACACACTTGCTTTGTAGACGCTCGCTGTATGCCAAGGGATTGCTCTGCAACCCTTATTGGGAAATTGTACAAGTCTTCGCTAGCCACAGCGCCAGCTTTCTGATGGTTCTGCAGACCACATTTCTCCCTGGGGCGGAACCTGGTCCCTTAATCTTGCCTTACATAGGGCAGTGTTATTATCAGCCCAGGGCTCCCAGGGAGAAGAGCGAGTGCTCACGCCTTCAGCCACACTCACTCCTCGCTGGAAAAGTTGAATTTCTGCAGCCTCAGGGCCCAACATGAAAACAGGTGAACCAAAAAGAGGTCACCCTTCTGCAGAGCAAGTTCTTTTTTTTTT